ATCGCGTTTTGAGTACGCAAGATATTCAATGGAGATAACATAGGCGAGAACGGACGCCTGATAGATATCAAGGAAGAGAGAGAGAGAGAAATCTCGTTTTAATATTAAACTGCACACATATATATACATACACACATCCCAGGTTCTCCAGTCCGTTCTCTTCTTTTATCTGTCAATATTTGTCATTGTCTTTAGTTCTCTTATCTCCGTGTCGCTCTCACCTCATTCGTGCGAACCTTCTCGTATTTGCGATTAATTATGTCTTATGAAAAGCTCAAATCTCGATCTACTCAACGATGTCGCATTACACATGACAAGAGAAAACGGTAAAATAATAAAATCAGGATAATCAAGAAGATGCGCACAAATTTTTGAGAGGTAAGAAAATTTATATAATAGTCGGTTTCTCTTTACGAAAAACGAAAAATTAATGACGATAAGTATTTATAAATAAACATAGTAAAATGTTTGCAGAGGATATTTTATCAGCATTTGCTTTAATATCATTATGACGAATCAAATGCGGCGAAACGAGAAATGGGACGAAGAATTTTCTTACGCAAATTAATTAATTATATACCTAACGCGGATATCGAATTTTGTTAACTTAAGTAGTATTATTACTATTAAGAATTGAGAAGGTTTCATATACTTAGACTACTGTCACTTAAACGAGATAAATATGACATCTGACTGACTTTCATTGTCAGTAATACCTCCCAGCGTGCTCGTCGGTACGGGCATCCGGCTAATAACCATGCTTATAACAGGCACAGAACTCTTTATAAATGAAACTTTGCTTTCCTTATAAATAAAACGTTTATTATGATGTAATTTCTACAGAGGAGCATTTAAGAATAGAAACTAATAAAACTTAAGCTTCAAAGCGCCACGACTGCCGCGAAATAACTATGTAATCAAAGAAATCTGTTTTATTTATTTTTTAAAGTAATATATTACATAGGATAGAGAGGAAAGGAATTTAATATCTTGCTTGTATGATATGCGGTTTACTATCGGGTTTTCTAAAATTATTAGTTTTAGTCACCGTTTCTGATTCTTCCCTATATGTAGTTGGGGAAAATAACAAGAAAATGAATTACAAATTGTTTGAATTTATTCGCGTGATAAATAATTGGAGAATATGTTTTGAATATAGCATTTCACGGACAAAAATATCCGTAACCAGAGATAAGCGTCCTCGCAAATCCAATGAAACCGAACTTATTACACGCTTAACATTGACATCTATACAAGTTTCCCTGTGAGAAGTTGACCCTTGCGGTGGTTCTCTATTTTCATCGGTGAGCGTACAACCACGAGGGAGGAGGGAGAGAGAGAGAGAGAGAGAGCATCTCGTGATTTTCAACCATCTCGGCGAATACGTCGGGAATAAGAAACAGGGGTGAGAAGTCCACCAAAAGAGATGCCTCGACGGCGGGGTGTCTGCCCGGTACGTCCCTCCTTAATCCTCATAAGATGTACGTGCGGCACATAGTAATTTACTTTATGAAGCTTTTCCAGAGCGCGCGCCGAGGTCATCACTTTCTCTCTTTATATCGACCGGTGTGCGGCGCGCCTCCCAGAACGTTCATAACCCGTAATAACCGAGAACGACGAGTCGGGCGACGAGCGGCATCGACAATGATAAACGTCTTTACTTGCTGCGCCGGCGAAAAGGCGAAGGGCCGGCACATACGAGGCACCGACATGGCTCGCCAAGATCATAGAAATGAAGAAAACGCAAAGATATTGCAAGCCCTCCTTCGGGGCACAGGGCGGAGTAATGCTCCGACGATAGTGGAGTAAGTTATGAAGAGAGTCGACCAGCATCAATTGCCTCCCTCCGAGTCAATTACGCGCGACACCCGTCGAAAGGGATGCGCCCGTGATGTATCGTGAGGGATGATGCAAAGCAGTGGTTCTCAATCCAAGAGACCACGTCGTATTTCGGAAGAATGCGCATACGAAATATAAAAATATTTATTTCATCATGGGAAACTTTTTTTAAGTTTCCACCACAATCTTTATTTAAGTGAGTATAATTGAGTTTTCGATCGCACTAGTGCTTGGAATCAATAATTAAAACATACCAATCTTTACGGTTTCATTCATTGCAACCCCCATTGGTTAGCGGCAAATAAGCCAAAATAAAAAAACAAAATAATGATTAAGTTTCTGGGATCTACCAATATGATTAACAATCATGCGTTATCGTAAAAATTGAGATTATTTTATCCAGCAAACTTTTTTTATGGAAAAATATTATCAGATATTTCAGTGTCTCTTTTATGAGAACCAGATTTTAAACGTTCTTTTTGTTGTTTTATATAAAGTATCCTCGAAATATAAGAAACAAGCTAATCTCTAAATATTCGCTTTTTTCTTTTTTTTTCTAACAGTAATTTTTTAATATTTTTTTATTAATCATGAAAAGATGAAATCTTTTAGAATAGGTAAAAAAACGCTAAAAAATTACAAATAAGAAAAAGTTGACAAACACTGATATAAAATGTTGAATTCATATCTACGACGTAAACTTTTAATCTAATAAGTATAGAAGTAAAAAAAAAAAAAATTCATAGAGTTTGTTTTGCGTGAGAATTTAAAACTTCAAGCGTGTACAAAAAGCAAGTCGCAATAATTATAACGCGCCCAGATCTTTCATTTCATGCGTCTTTTTGCGTGAATACAGGTCATGTGCACCTATTTAATTGAACTGTTTAACCATTCAATGCCATATGCGGTGCATAATAAACGAACTGAGTATACCTACACCTTGATCAAACAAATGTCCGAAGTTGTGTCGCGATCACGCCTAGCCCGCTCGACATTGTCGCTCGATCATTAACCAGCACATGAACGCATTTACATCGAGATTGTGTTTCACTAATTAATTATACATTACCTAGCCGCGAGTCAATTATCAAGTCATGCTTACATAGTCGTTTCACCGGATAAATTAAAAAGCATTATATTATTTCTCAGTTAAGAGAGCAAAGTACACATTAACATTAATATTAATTTTTTTTCATCACGCAAAAAACGCAAAAATAATCCTAGACATGTTCCTGAAATGCGCACTTACACAAATAAACATATTCGATAAAATCTAAAAGTTGTTGTTTCTTAGGAAAAGACGCATTATCATATGACGCGTATTATTTTATTTCAGTTATGTCGATATTTCCCCATTTGACGTGCGCTTGACGTAGGATATTCTATCTTCCTGGAATGCAATCATAGACAATAATAATTTTAGTTAATAAATGATAATATATTTTTATTTCCAAAAAGTTATATATTTTTACCGAGTCGTTATAAAAAAAAAAAAATATTTAATATCTTGTGTTATTAAATCTCCTCTCGTCGAGGTTTAGCGTCGATCAATTCGTGTCTTTCAACTTTGAACGAACTTATAAATGATCTTAATTTCCATTCATCGTCAATAAAAAAAATCCATAAAAAGTGGCATTTTTGCCGCGGGTCAAAGTGCATTAGCAAGATTATACATATATCGCATCGCGCGCTGGAGGAAGACGCTTTTTGCGAAGCGTTTCGGCGAGACCTTGGCGAATACGTCAAGGTACGATAAATGATTTACCATAAAAAAAAGTCCATTGTGCATACTTCATATCGTTCGATACTATCATAAATAATTATATGGAACGCCTCTGAGACGACACAGAGAAATTGTATCGCATGTTACACGGACATCAATGTCATAATCGATACTTATCGATCACTAAAGGAAAATTCTTGCGATTGGAACTAAACTAGCATAATTGTTAAGATGTTTCTTTTCCGGTTTGTTTTACATGCGCATACTAAGTAAAGAAAAAGCTTGTTTTGTATATCTTTGCGCAAAAAACAATCGTATTTCAAGAAAATCTACATATTGATTGCGAATGTAAAAATAATCTTGTTTTGTCGAATCTACAAAACAAAACTACACGCACAAACGTTTTTAATTTAAATTCGATGGGAAGAGAAAAGCGAACAATAAAATAGATATACAAATGAGATACGTCGACAAATCAGAATCGTTTACCTAAAAAATCGAAAACTTTATTGAAAACTTTTATTATTCTTTTAATTTTATGCATATATAAAAATTAATATAAAAATTAATAAAAAAACGTTGTGAATTTTTCGAGAGAAAATCGTCGATTTACATCGATTTGTATAATCAGAACGAAAAATCTCTATAATTTTTCCACAATATACCATTCACTGCAATTCTCGACAAATATTGTTATAGTCAGATGATTGTCGATTTTACATTATTATAATCGCATTTCTTTAGTGTTCTAGTCAATTAGCAAAGTTCCATTTAAAAATTAACTTCTGACATAACTTAATAAGTTTAAGTATGATCCATAAAAATGATGAACGACAGCGTTGCGATGCATCATTTATATAATTATGATAAATGTCGTTTATGATAATACCCTCGCATCAACAGCCAATGTGATTGTAATTATGTAGATTATCTGTATATTACACTGAAGAGATTCCCAGTTTTTCGCGAATAACAAATTAATGGTAACGCTCTCATTGCTTGAAATTATTCGGCAAATAATTCACATATAATGAAAATCTGTAGGAATGCGTTTTACTTTAGTTTTATACTTGCTCTATGTAACTTAAAATTTGCATGCGCTTTTTTTTCAATCTACATTTGGTATAAAACGTACTTTTTTGTAGCAACTCTCGTGTGTGCATGCGAAACGTATTAAATGTCTAATAAGAAAAGAGAATTCGTTTTCTAGAAATATAACTATGGAATATATATACAATAAGAGAATATATCAATCGTTTTAAATTATATTTCTAGAAAACATATTTTCTCTTATTATATATGTCAAATGCGTTCAAAAAAGACACTAAAAAATATTTCTATACACGCATAATTCATACACGATTCCATGAACTTCTGTCATGTGACTGCTCTTTCTCGTCGATCCTTCCACTGCACCTCGTGACTGACTCGAGGCGAGACGCGATGCGATCCGACCGAGTACAACGTGCAATATCGATGTTGCACGCGTGATTCGCGCGAATCGCGTAGGTCGATAAAGTTGCTTAAGCGATTTGCAAAAAGCTGATTGCTCGCTCCCGTAGAAATTCCGCGGATTAGTCCCTCGCGTTTCTCCAACATGCCGGACGGATTTTCGACCGGATACATCCGTCTCTTGACAGCAACATCGAATTGTGTTTGATCGTTTTCGATCGGCGCGCTTCACGATATGTTCGACAATATTTTGCGCAAAAATTGTATCGAGGCAACGAGTGTTGTTACACCGTCGCTACCGGAAGTCTGTATGAATATTCAACCGGCACGCGAATTTCACGTCGCGTGCTCGTAGCAGGCGCGGATCCGCGCGGACGTTCTTCGGAGTTCTCTTTTTTTTTTTTTCAGGACGAATTTTGTCTAAATGACAAAGCGAAAAGTGCAGAAAGATATTGAGAAAGAAAAGTGTGAAGAGTATCTGGAAGAGATATGTCGTACGATTCGAATACTTCGCTACCGTCGTTGTCATCTTCAGTGCAGACATCGGACGACACGAGAAACGAGTATCTCGCCAGATGGGAAATTGCAATTTTAACCAGCATATTTCTCGTCACGCTCATCGGCAACGCTCTGATCCTGTTTGCCCTTTATGCCAAACGACGTTATCAGCGACGAAAATTCACCAGAATGAATTTCTTCATTCTACATTTGAGCGTCGCCGATCTATTGACAGGTTTGCTCGATGTTTTACCGCAACTTGCTTGGGATATAACATTCAGGTAAGCTGCTTTGTTACTCCGATCAGTCTTATGATCTTTTAATGAGCTAATCAATACGTAAATTTTTGCCAAGATAATAAGAGGAAATGCGAAAAACGTGTTTTTTAACTAGTAACAATTTTGATACAGTATCGGTAAACTTTTGAAAACAACAAGCTTCCGCCGTTTTAACTAGTAATTTATGTATGTCTCATAAAAATGCAGTTTATTATTTTTAAATATTAACTTATATTAACTTGTCAACATTTTAAAATAATAGATAAATTATCAAAAATTGGGAGAAAGTGCAAACATTTTTTTTATACAAATATAATATATCTCTAGTATATAAATTTCTGTTATATTTTTTTTTCGCGTGTATTCTGCCATAGTTCAATAACTTAATAAGGATGACCCCATTAAATGAATTTGACAAAACTGAATTTAACAACCATCAGGTTTCAGGGCGGAGCGATGCTCTGTAAACTAATCAAATTCGGACAGCCGTTCGGTCTGTATCTCAGTTCCTATGTCCTGACGGTCACCGCGATAGACAGGTATTACGCCATTTGCCATCCATTTAGTTACTGCAGCATCGCGTCTAGAAGACCGAAAATGATGGTGTACGGCGCATGGATGCTCGCCGCAATACTGTGTATACCGCAGGTCCGTCGAAAATTTAATTCGCGCCTCTACTCTTTTGCCGTATCTTATTCATACCGCCACTTTGCTTTACACGAAGGGCGGATCAGTTAACGCTTGAGATATTAATTTTTATCCTATGCAGACAACGGACGCAAATCTAATAGCGCGCGTCGCGACAGGCTAATTTATGAGAGCGCTAATTGCGCAAACTTGTCGCTTATAAATGTATCATCCGTTTGTCTCATGCGAGAATTCGCTTCTACGAATTTCTTGACATCTTTGATAAATGTATATCCGGCTGGATCATAAATTTTTCAAATGTTTATTGTTATTACGAGAAAGAAAAAAATTACTGATTTTTTTGTTTAAAAATCCTAGGTTTTTATATTCTCATATGAGGAAATATCGCCAGACATTTGGGAATGTTGGGCCACTTTTAACTTGAAATATGGCGAGAGAGCCTATGTCACTTGGTAATATTCACATTTATGTGTTATATATGTATATATATAGTAATTTTTCGGGGAAGGGATAAACACTTCTTTTCTTTTAATTATAAAAAAATATATATAGAAGCTTTCTTTCATGCACAATCTTTACGTACTGGTATAAACTTTTCATTATCGATATGGAGCGGAAAGTAAGAAATGAAGTGTTAAATATATCTCGCCTTATTATGGAATAAATACGCTCTCTTTTGTAGAGAGAAAATTTGAAATAAGGAAAAATGGACTAAAATTTTATATATATGTATATATATGTTATATGTGTATACTACATACAAGCTCGGCATGAAGATAAATTTTAAAACATTGTGACTCCTTTAATTATAGGTACAGTATCGTGCAGTTTCTGTTACCCTTCATAGTACTTGTATACACGTACACAAAGATATGTATAGCAATCTGGACGAGCAATAAGATGTCAGGAGTTGTTGATTTCAAAAAGAATAAAAAAGCCAATTTCTCACAGCAAAATCGTGGTCCCTTCATCTCTAAAGCCATGCTCAATACCGTAAAACAGACGATCATTGTCATTACTTTGTATATTGTTACCAGTACCCCATTTATCGGATCTGAACTCTGGGCAACGTGGGATCCTAAAGCTTCCACTTTGCCATTTTTTACTGGTAAATACTCTGTAAAATAGCAATGACATAAATAAATGTAATTGAAAAATTATTATTAACTAGATAAATTGATAAAAATTAGTACAATACTTAGCGATTCATACTGATATTCTTTAATCAAATTGTAATTGCTTGACTTATATAATTTTATAATATTTGACAATGTTAAATTATCATCTTAAGAACCAATGCAATAATGACCATATACTTTTCTTTAAATCTAATATTTCAAATTCCAAATCTTTAAGTTTATTAATTTTTACCTCATATTGTGCTGTAATTCGTAGGAGCTGCTTTCACCATTCTATGTCTGTTAAATAGTCTTACAAGTTGCGTCAACCCTTGGATTTACTTTGCTTTCAACAAAGATTTACGTACAGCATTGACAATCTTTTTCTACAAAAAGAAAGACAATTCGTTGAATGATGGTATATAATCATGATTTTTCATATATTTTGCGATCAATTTCGTATATATATATATATATATATTTTATATTTTCTCTCACAGATATAGATGCCCGTCAAAATGCGTCGAATATACCCTCAACGAGGTCGTCGTTTATTTCTAGATTTTCGCGACTTGCGAGTTCAAAGATATTCGGGTGAGGAAGAAACGAAACAAAGTTTGCATTTTGAGGACTGCTTTGAATATAAAGAATATATTGTGAATATATAGTTTTTTTGTGCATACATACATCTGCAGGATGTATATAAATGCGTTTCGCGATGCAACAATGTCGCGCAGTATGCGACTTTTAAATAAGAATTTTTTAATAAAACTAAATTATTTGTTAAAAAAAAGATTTTTTTTTTAAATACCTGTACAAAAGAATGTCACTATTTTATGGGAGTACTTCGGTACGATTAGCCATATAGTTGTGATATCCATTGTCATGAATCTTCGTCACTTGAAAATATTTTCGACATTCGATTTTGCGTATTAATCACACATCGCTTAACTTGGCAAAAGCGTGATGTAGTATGCGGTATGCGCTTTCAAGTCTTTTTTTTCTATCATATTCAAAATTCCCGTCGCATCTCCGCCCATTCCGTGCGCCATTCTTACACGATCTGTTATACTTGCACGGTTCCGCTTCATTAGTATTTCCATCGGCTGGGCGTCTATTATGCCCCGATGTTTGTACTCCCATTTTTATCCCGATCATCCCAGAGGCTCTCATATGCTAATATCGCGCACCAGGTATAGACCACTCACGCCCGGACACTATCATTATATCCGTTTAATTCTCTAGGAGATACGTACAATTGAAAGCAAAAAACATACTTGAAAAGAAAAATATTTTAATATTATAAGCACCCGCTTTCTATTGCAAACGGAAACTTTTCTCAAAGATTATTGATCGAACGATCTATAAAAAATTAAAAACATGAGTTTCCTTATTTTGATCAGTATATCAAAGTTGACCAAGTTCTATAAAATGCTTTTTTATATCTTAATATATCAATATTTTCTATAATAATTATTATGAAAAAGATTATTCCTCAATATATTTCACACGATAAGAACTATACTAGATTATTTTACAGAGTCGTCAATTTTTGCGAGCACATTTTTTACTTGATTTTCTTGGTATTATTATTGTATCAATAATTTTCTACAATTTCCCAATAGTCTCTGTCAATTTTACTTAACGAAAAATGGCGTTATTGGAACTTTTTCAATTTAGATTATAATTCGAACAGGGCACACAAGATTATTCGGTACATCTCTCTTCTTGCGGCGACCATCTGGTCGCGGTAAACTAAGAACCCCTGGCGGAACACCTGAATACTTAATAAACGGATAAAATTAACATTAATAAAACGACTGTGGCCGATCCACATCTTATCCGAGGACAAACGCGGTCGCTAGACCCACGTGATATATGCCTTACGAGACTTCGGCGAGAAAGGCGACTCGTCAGTTTTCCACGTCGTTTCTCTACGGTATGTCGATGGATGATACCGGAATCAACGAGGAGATGTCATTTGTGCTTGATCGGGTACCTGTGATGGAGCAAAATTCGGACGAATATCGCGCCGAATCGGCGAAGAATGAGGTAAAAGTGGAATTTATGACTCAATCGTCGCAAATATTTACCAATGATATACATGCGATCGATTGTCGATTCTCGTTTTTCTCTTATAATTTTGTGCAAATCTGATATCATGAATATACATATACATATATAGCGCTGACATAAAAATTTTTAAGTAAAATATTACTTTGTACTTGTGTTCCGAATTAAATTTTCCAAAGTAACGCATTATATTTTGAAATTAATTCTATTGTTCAGTTTTTTGTGTGATATGTATTTTTTTTTTTTATTTATTTGAGCATACGGAGGAGAAAGAGAGAGAATCGACCTATCGAAAAATTACGCTGCTAGAATCTGTTGCTTGAATTTGGCGTAGAAAAAGAAGCTAATTTATATTCCAGTCCGAGAACGAGAGTAATGAGGAGGATTACAGGCGTTCGCCGGTGTTGCTCGACCTGGATGAGAACTCAAAACAGCAGCAACAGAAAGCTGCGAGTCGGGAAGTGAGCTCACCGAGTTCCGCGGTGAATCAGCAGGATCAAGGATTACTTCCAGGTTCGTGGAGATTATCTATGCTTATTACGTATCATTTTAACGGTTCTCGATTATTATGTATCGACGTCGTCAGTTAATCAGATTTTTTAACGCAGTTTTTATTGTATATACTTGACAAAATCAAATGTTGGCGTTATTGTAACTTTTTTAACTTATTGTTAGATAATCATTCGAGCAGAGCACACAACATTATTCATATTTAACCGATACCGAATAAAATCGCCTCATTATCTGCGTATCGTTTTCCATAGAAGAAACTACGCGTTCACAGCCTATAAGAAGCAGATGGCAAGAAACAAGCTACGAGGCGCGAGGCGAGCAGACTCCCGAGGGAGAGAGAGTGCTCGTGATTAGAGTACCGGAACCGGAGATAATCAGCGGACACTCGCATCTCGAGATGCTCCACGAAGCCAACATCAAATCGGTGCAACGGGAACCGTCGCAGACTGAGAAAGGTGCGGCAATGTCGAATTGCGCGTCGCCTGGTGAGATCACATCCACGATTAAACTCTAATTTACGCGCGATATTGAAGATAATTAACATGCTAGGTACCCTCAAAACACTTGTCCGAAAGAAATCGAAATGACATGATCAATCCGAATTGTCTACAAACAAAATCAGATTTCTTTTAGCGAGTTTCAGTTTTTCTTACAGAGAGGGGTTCAACAAAGAGGACTGCTTAATTGTCTGATGTTAACGCCGTTCGCAGTTAAACGTTTGTCTTTCTTAGACGAACGTATGCGCAGTTCCCGCTCCAGCAGCACAATCCGTAGATTTTTGTCACGAGTTCGTTGTATCTGTCGCACGAGAATCGAAGGATGATGCTGTTCCTCACGCGACTTATCTTCCGTCGTGGTCTGTCGGCTCCTTTTGTTCCTGCGAATACGATAAGGCGGGCGCATGAATATCAATTCAAAACGTATATGCACGTATTTCGGGAAAAAGGCGAGCAATTTTTGCATCACGAAGATGCGCTCAATTTCAGATGCTGCACATTTTTACGTGTCGCGCGACAGGTTTAAAATTATTTGTAGACATGCGTATGCATCGTCGATCAAAATTCACATGTACGTTCAAACTTCTGAAGTTGAGATGCTTGCAAAAAAATCGCGGAACTTCTGATAAAAGCAAAAGATACTCGAGCATTTAAAGTGTATATGATTCCATTTCTGCATTAATTTATGAGTGAAGAATTTTTTAAATCAAATTATAGATTCTTTCAAATGTGTTATCACGTGTTGCTAAACGCAGTGCATGCTATTATCATTAAAATCATTCTATACCTATATACATGATTCGGAAAAATGTAGCCGTTGTCGACTCTCTTCAAGCGTATACTCCCATCGATACCTCTCCTATGTCTATTGTGGTTTTTGCCGTCCCTCGAGACGCGCTTGACACGCTTGCCGATAGGCGAGATACGATCCGTCGGTCCCTTAGTGTTCATTCCGACATGCTTCCCCAGGATCTTGGCGAAGAAATGTAAAATTGTTTGGCCGCCATCCTTCCACCAACTACTGCATTTACTACTCTCCTCCTCCTTCTCGATCTCGATAACACGATCGCCGCAGTTCTGTTTCCGATCCACGTTCTCGCAGCTACGCTCCACGTGGCCCCGCAATTTCTCGTTGCACACAATCTCACGTACGGTTTGCCGACACTGGTCGTCTTCTTCTTGTAGAAATTCGATAGATTTTCTGGAATCATTCTGAATGATCGTTGGAACGCTCTCTTGCTGCGTCGAGAGCGGTGGACCGCTGGAAGGCTCAATGACATCGGTTTCTAAGCAAATATCTTGACATCCCTCCTTATCTTGGAAATACGGGCATATTATGAACATTCTATCGATCATGCCTCATATAAATTTATATAAGTTTTTTAATTTATATAAGTTTTTAAATGTTTTCTTATTTATATATAGAAAAATTCATCTCGTATATATATATATATCAGCTTATATAAAATTAATATATTAGATCAATCTACAAGTTCATACATATTTTTGAGCAACTCTCTGGAATATAAATAAATAAAATATATACAAAAAATACATTTTTTTTAAATATTAAAGATAGATATTACTTCTGTATTATTAATGATTTGAAAGTTGTTATCTATCGATAATATTTTTTATTTTATCTGTATCAGAAACGCAGGAACTCGTGGATTGATTTGACGAGTATTTTTCTATTTAATACTTGGGCTTGTTTAACGATCGAGAAAGAGATATACATATATGCTCTTTATTATTGCTTAATTCTTCTTACTTTGATCAACGTTTTCGAAGCCGCGACAGGTCACAAGCGCTATTTCGACCGAGCTTTGCTTAGATTCTATCGACTTGCCGCGGTCTCGAGTGATTCTGCGTCCAGGATTCAGACTCGTGACAACCTGAACCGCGCGAAAACAATCTGGCTCCGAATCCGGGACTCGCGGTATCACGTTTATCACCGTTATCCTCTTCCGCATATGCGGCAAAGGTACTCGAAAGTTTCGCGCTTCGTTCAGTCGTGTTCCTATCGATATATATAAAATATTATTCCATATCTCGTTTATCTCACGTGTCGCATCGCGCAGCGTCTATTCGATTGATCACTTCTCGGCAGACTTTTTTAGAATTACCCTCATACAAAAGACTTAGAAACAATTAATTACGTTATTACAGATATACATTTACTTTTATACGAAACGTAATGAAGCTACTTGAGATACGGATGTCATCTAATTAAACGTCATACTGATTTCCGAAATCAATTGATTTAATACACATGACAATATTTCAATTTTAACATATCATCGTCTGTTTGCATTATTCATTTTTTAAATATATTTAAAGAATGAATAATGCAAACGGTTTGAAGCAAAATCTTACTGTAATGAAGGAATACTAAAAAAGAAATAATTATCTTGAGGTAGATCGCGGTTAATTATACTTGAATGTAAAATAATTTTTTTGCGAGCTGTTTGATACGCAAAGAATAATCACGTACATAATCATATATGTCACTAACTGAATTGCATATTAAGTATACGATAAGCTATTATTTAAGATGCGATATACAATAAGTTACGAGGAGCTGTAAAATTTCATATATTTTGCAGAAATATTTACAATTCCTCTTCACTCTCATTTAATGCAAATTTAAATAATCTCGCACTTTTAATCGGTTCTAACCTTTGCGGCTTGCTTTCATATTCGTCATTTTTATATATTTCTCGATTTCTTTCCAAATTTCGTACTTTCATCCAAAAATAATTAATAGAAATTTCCTATATTACGGTATATTTTTCAGCCTGTTTTTCTTGGACATTTTCCAAGATAAATACTCAAAATTTATGCACATATTTGTGCTTATTAATCATATTAGTCTCTTTTTTGTTTTCACAACAGGAATGTCTCTCGAATTACGAGTTGGTGATTTCGTGATTTCATATTTAATTTTGCATAGAGTATCGCACTATATTTTGCCGGGCATATCTCTGCGTAATGCTTTTCTATTAATAAAATTGAATAATTTATCAAATATAAGTATTATTACAGTTTAAATGTGACCCATTCTCTAATCAATTTAAAGTATAATTTTTCTCAATGATAAATAATCGGCAAAAACCACATTAATTTTTTTCTCAGTTTCTTTTATAATTCAGAAAAAAAAACCTCCTCTCATGATTATTTTTATAGCATATCTCTTCACACTTTTCAATATCCGCGTGTCAAGAGTTTACATAATTTATATAATTAATTTTAATGTGTATGTATATATATTTATACACATAATTTATTAGCATTTTACTAAGAATGCTTTTCTAAAAAATCCAATTTTCTAAAAAATCCGATTTCAGCTCGCCCGGTGAAAAAAAAACAGCTGATTCGTTCAATCATTCGGGTAAGTCGTTGTCGCGCCACGACGACGACGACGAGTGCGCGTATACCGGAGCAAGAACAGTCGTTAACCCCCGGTAATTAACGATTTCAGACTACAAGAAGTCAGCGTGCGATCGCGAGCGCACACGAATGCGCGACATGAATCGCGCATTCGAGCTACTACGGTCGAAGCTACCGATATGTAAGCCTCCGGGCAAGAAGCTCTCCAAGATCGAGTCGTTGCGCCACGCCATCACATACATAAGGCATCTGCAAAGCTTGTTGGAGCCGCAGTACAGCTATCCTATGCCCAGCGTGCCCGATCGACCTGGCGGCTACTACGCGGCTCCCCCACCGGGCCCACCGACGTCCTACGAAGTGCAGCATCCGAGCCGATGGGAATCCCTAGCTTACTACCGATACGATTACCACGCACCCTTCGCCACCCCGTCACCGCCGACCTTGGTGCCACCCCTGCAGGCGAGACTGTCGGTCGATCAGGACGATCGACAGTTTTCTTATGAAGCGCGTCACTAATGTCGTCTTTTTCGAGAAATTGATTGATCCTTTGAGTATTTTAAGAAAAGTATCGCTGTCTCAATAAGCACAGATAGCTTTCTTCAATGAAGAAACGCTATATTAGACTCGCTATATATTTTGGATTTCATGATTTTGGCTTCAGACTCATTGGCTTTATTGGCCTTGAAAACATTTAATTATCAAGTCTCTGAACCGCATATTTTTTAAACACACACATATACGTTAATAATACTCAAAAAAGGGAAAAATTAAAACTATGGAAAATAAATTTCTATCATTTTGTTATAAGGTCTGTTCTTGTTAGCTGCACCTTTTTATTCGCTTTATGAACGAAATAACATTTAGGTTTTCAAGGGAAGAAAAATAAGATTGCTGAAAAACGTAAAAGGACGCAGTTAAAAAAAGAACAAATCTCATGAATCATGTAAAAAGGAACATTTATACGAGTGCCTTATTTATAGAGATTAAACCAGTCTGTCTATTTTTCTTCGTTGCTGTAATATATCATTCCTACAAAGTCATTAATCTCCCGAGAAACTATTACTCTGAGTAGGAACAATCCTGCATTAGGAATTTAATACACAGTAATCCAAAACGCTGTTGTGTAATATATAGTCAAAGATACAATTATAAAACTTATCACAGAGATGTAAAAGTATGCTCTCAAAATAGTGATCCCAACATATTCTTTCATTATTTAACTTTTCTTATCCAGATACATAAACATACGAAAATATATCTTTCTCTCTTGTGTACAATAAATTATTATACAGAATATAAGTTTTCTAAAGTATAGTGGAGAATAACGGTATATCGCAAGAGTTACCGGAGAAAAACGCGAAACGGAGAATTTCTTACTCCGCTCCTACATTATTTTTACAACACATTTGGCCGTATCAGAGTAGCGATAATTCGCCTCATTTACATGCACCGGACATATACAATACGTGCATACATATGCTATGTTATGATGTTAGCTATATGACGGTATTGTATTTCGTCGGTTGCGCCGTATTCGGTGGCGTAGTGGTTGGATGGATGTGCAATGGAAGATCCCAAATCATCGTCTCAACATCCAGAGTCGATGGTCCGTGCCAACTGATGGTGTTCTCGCTGGGCATCTCCACCAGCTTTGGCGTCGTGACAAACTCAAAATGTAGCCGCCACTTGAGCGTCACCAGATCGGTGGTAAAGTCCGGCGTAACGTGAAGAGGTATCGGTAGCACCAAGTGCGAATATTTCAGACCCAGACACATTTCATGATGCTTGTTGTAGCTAATCAACGTCGGCGTGGTGACCTTGCCTCGCTTATAATCTTCCGATACGTGCTCCTCGGACTGCAAGGATACAGATACCTGAACACAGGAAACGGTCGCATTCGAGAAGTCGAATGTTCCAACTATGTCCTCGCCGAGTTTGTAGGAATTCTTAAAAAGGCAAAATCGCACTACGCGCCCGCGGCCGTTTGTCACGTTGTAAAAGTTTGGACTGCGTCTAGCTGTTAAATTCTGAAACATTAAAAAATACAATTACGCATTAAACTATATAACACTATATAAAAATCTTAAATCAAATTCAAATACAACAAAGGAAAGTACACAACCTGCAGGGTTTGTAGTGCAATATCTAATGGAGTTTCTCTATGCTGTGTTTCCATAAATGGATTATTGGGACTCAAATCTACACTATCATTGCACGCTGTAATCTCTGGCAATTCTGTAAAACAATATACAAATTATACTTTATGTAGAAGAGCAATAGATATTTGTCTCATAACTTTATATATTTATTTTTTAATCTTCTAAGTTTATTACCACTTAAAGATAGTACTCTAAATGGTACTCGTAATAACTTTATAACTGTATTCACTCTTTGCGTTCCAATTGTTATCTTATAAGAATATTTTACAGCCTGTCCTTTATATGAAGGTGGAGCATCACTTGGTATTGTTTCACGATAAATATCTAATAACAAAATTTTAATATAATAAAATATGTAAAACTTATTAAATAAAAACATATAGACATAGGCTGCAGTCAGGAAGACGCTAGAGACAAATGCTTCAAAGCATTGCATTAACCAATCAGAATAAAGAAATTTTTACTCTTTTTGTCCTAATTGGTCAATCAAATGCTTTGAAGCATTTGTAGTGTTTTGCTGACTGCAGCCTTACTCTTAAAAAAAATTAGGATTACTTATAAACTTACAAGTCTTACTTTCTCCAGGTGACAATCTTAAATCGCAGCACAAAATTTTTGGCTTTGTATTCAATACTACATGACCATTATCTTGCTGCCATGGTGCAAAGGTAGTATCTAGAACAAAATCAAAATAAATGCACAATTAGTAGAGAAATAAAGTAAAAGGATACAAAAATAGAAAATATTAAAACAATTTCTCTAAATTCTTACTTGCATTGATTGCCACTGAACGAGCTGTAGTATTTATTTTCTCTGAAAGCACCATTTTGCTATTCGTCGTACATTGGCAATGTACCTGTGCGCTTGCCCATGCAAGACTCTCAAACAGATCACTATAAGAGAGTGTAAATTACCTTTATGTACAAACATAATAATTTATATTATTGACAATATATACTGTACCTGTGACTTTGTGATATTTGATGATTCGGATTCGGGGGATTAGTAAACGTCACCAAGCATTCTATAATTTCTCCGGAAAAATATATAGGACCCCGAATAAGTTTCGCCGTGATTTCTATCATATTGATCCTTTTTTTTAAGCTGACATATGTACATTTTCGATCAAGACATATTTGTCATCGAGATTCCGATTTCACACACCCTATCACATCTCTTTCTGATCTAAAAAGAATCTGGAAGTCTATTAATTAATATATACATATTAATAATATTTTTTATTACATTATTTTTAAATCATGCAAAGTGTTTATTTCTTATCAAAGATGACATTTTACTCTGTCAGTACTGTCAACTACAATTGTCTGACGAAATATTTCTGGGATGCGTTCAAAAATCTACTCATCGGAGTAGCATTTGATTGACCAATCAGGACAAAGAATCAAAGATATCTTTGTCCAATCTAAATCCGTTAGAAAAATTTCTAGAAAAATTCTCTGATCAACGACCAATCGACGAGCACAATGATCGTAAGAACCCTAGTAATCAGATGATCGAATTGACTCATGGCGTCAGAAATTCTAGTTATATATCAGCAGTAACTTGTTATCGACAGTTTTCGGTATCGGTAACTGGCGACAGCCAATGGCAAGGACAATTCTGGTGAAAAGCGCAATTCTCATAGGCTATCGCTCGCTAACGACAACGATAATCGTCACTAAGATGTTTAGAGAATCCCGCTACAGGTTCTGTAATTCAAGTAAGAGTGAAAGTTACAAAAATAAGCGCATTTATTAGAAAATTTATAATTTCATTGGTCCAAATCTAGTAAATTCGCTCATTTATGTAATTTTCATTCTCATTTGAATTATAGAATCGATACTCAGATCTAGTTATTATCGTTTACCTAGGTTGATCTTTCCGCTCAGTGAGCAGCCTGCAGGCCTGCAGTTTAGACAATATGTCGAATATGTCTGTCGTGCGTTTTGTGCGCTAATTCCGATAGAAATAAAGAATTGTTGCAAGAAACGCGTATACAGTGATCTTAGGTTCACATTTTAAATCACAAAGCACATTGATGCCAAAATCGCTGGCTAAATCATGCGTCTCTCAATGATTTAGATATACGAATTACGCGGTAAGATATCAGATCAAGATGTATATACTAGCCTACTAGCATATAAGAAATTGCATATATACACATCTTCCATTACATATGAAATTTTTTCATACAATTATTTCTGTGTACATACTCAAGTATAAATAGACATAAATAAAATCACATTTTTCTATATTCTATCAAATATATTATGTATACATTGTAAGAGTTATTAAAATTATAATTTTCTGGGTAATTATTTGTGTGTACTCAAGTATAAATAGACATAAATAAAATCACATTTTTCTATATTCTATCAAATATATTATGTATACATTGTAAGAGTTAAAATTATAATTTTCTGGGTAATTATTTGTGTGTGTATATCTACTCACATATTTATCTTTCACATAAATAATATATAAATATTGTTTGTATTCCCTTTCTTCATAATATCTCAGAATCATATATAAATTATTGTATGTTATTTAAAGGATTTTTTTTTTATAAAAGAATCCTACTATATAATTAGTTTTTGGTATAATTGTGTAAATTTATTGAGATTATATGAATAATATAATTTTCAGATAGATAAAACTTAAATAAACATTAAAGCTTTATCAATGGCAGAGGAAGAAAGAATGCCTCTTTCAGGTAAGGCATATCTTTAATGTTTTATAAATATACTTTGCTAGATTTAATTTGTTACTAAACGATTTCTTTGTGTAATACAATTAGAAAAAGATGATACTCAATCGAATGATACTACCCAATCAAAAGATGCTTATGTACCAGAAGAACCAACTCCGGATACCTCAATTTGCTTGTCAGACATACAAATGCCAGAAACACCAGAGAGTACCAAAGGGCAAATAAGCGATGGAGATACATCTAGATTAGAGAGCCCAAAGACGCTGAAACCAGTGCTTGGAAAAATTCAAGCAAAAAAACGATTAATGGCATTTGCTAATCAGTTTAAAGTATTATCCAAGTCCCAAATTAAATCAAATTTGCAGCATTCTACTGGAGCTTTTAAAATGAAAGATAAAACAGTACACGATGATACAAATATAAATAAATCACGAAAAAAAACAGGTATGTGATACTATAAAATGTATATATTTTAGTATATAATATCTGATAATTATGATCTTTTTATTATATGGCTATATATAAGTTAATGCATTCACAAAGAATTTGACAAATATTAAATTTTTTGTACTATAAACAAATAAGATATAAAGAGAAAATAAATTATTTTAATTGATTCATATAGTAGATTATTTAATTTAATTGTATAATATTCAACATATAATTTTATGTGTTCCATTATCATAGATATCCATCATTATCAGATTTCTATAAACTACCTTATACATATGAAGCTCTCTGAATATATATATATAAGATTAGAGAGCCCAAAGACGCTGAAACCAGTGCTTGGAAAAATTCAAGCAAAAAAACGATTAATGGCATTTGCTAATCAGTTTAAAGTATTATCCAAGTCCCAAATTAAATCAAATTTGCAGCATTCTACTGGAGCTTTTAAAATGAAAGATAAAACAGTACACGATGATACAAATATAAATAAATCACGAAAAAAAACAGGTATGTGATACTATAAAATGTATATATTTTAGTATATAATATCTGATAATTATGATCTTTTTATTATATGGCTATATATAAGTTAATGCATTCACAAAGAATTTGACAAATATTAAATTTTTTGTACAACAATTTGTTCAAGGTTTCAATTTATAAATTATTAGACTTGTTTTGTTTTTATTATGAAATATATTAGCAGTAAAATTACAATTTAAATTTCTATTAATTTATAGAGAATAAAAAAGATTGTGTTTTAATTTTTTAAAGAATTTAATATAAGATAGTAGAATAGTTCGAAGATTATGTATCTGTTTAATTTTGTAATTGAGATATTATAGAAATATTTTTTATAATTTTTTACAGAAGAAAAGATTCTAGCAATTGAAGAAATTCGAAGAGAAGAATCTAAAAGTAAAATGTTAGCCATGGCATCCATGGCAGCAGGTATTATTTTTATATAATTGTAACAGACATTTTATATAATTGTAATATCAGACATTCAATAATAAAAACTTTTTATAGCAAGTATGGAAAACGAAAATCATACTGGCAAGAATACATCTGATTTATTGGGGAGTAAAAGACATGCAAAAGTAAAGAGCAGACATGAAGGAATAAACGACTCTCGTAAAAGTAGATCAACAATAAACCGAAAATATTCAGAAAGGTACAAAAAGAGCATTTTTAATAATAAAATACACATTTTTTTAATATTCTTATACACATGCAATATATCTTTTTTATTCTTTTCTATGTTTTGCTATAATTTTCAAGGCATCGACATCGTGACAAAACTGATAGGAGTAGCTCGAATCGCGAAGTAAAAGATCGAAATGAAAGTACTGAACATTCTGTACAAAAATCATCTCAAGATAGAGAAATACGTAAAAAAGATAAAAAAAGAAAAGATGATAAAGATAGACGAGACGATAGCAAGATGGATACAAGTCGTGATAAGAGAGAGGAAGAAAAGGATAGGAAAGAAAATGAAAAAGAGAAACGAGAAGAGACAAGAGAAAAAAGAGATGGAACAAAAAGTAAGAAAGAGAACATAAAAGACAAACGAAATGATATATTGGAAATGGAAGCAGAAGATAAGGATAAAAAGGAAAAAGATAAAGATAGATGGAAGGAAAAAGAATTATTGAAGTGTAACTCTTGGGTGGAATTACAAAAATCTGGTTTAACTCTTGATGACATCAGTCATCTTAGAAGACGCGATAATACAGAACGATTTGTAAGAAATAGGTATAACACAATTATAAAAATAATATATTCAAGATTTATATATATATGTGTGTGTATATATATTTATATGTATATGTAGATATAATATATTATATATATATGTGTGTGTGTAATGTGTTTCAGAACAGCACAAGATTATGCGCGTTATCTCGAACATATGTTAATGTTAAACAATTATCATCTGAAACGTCAAGCACTAATAGCTGAAGGACTTGACGGACCTAAAAAGTACCCACCTGAATCGATTAAAACGACGAAACGAGCAAAGGGGGCTCAATTATTATATTGTGAAAATCCACGCACGTCCCTTTTTTTATGCATCTCGCAACTTCTACAAGCTGTGTCTCCTGAACGTCGTGAAAAAATACGAGACATATGCGAAGCATCTTCATCACGGTATATCACAATGTCTATCCAACAATAATTTCCTATTCAAATCTTTCTTTATCTATTCCAGATCTTTGTATATAATTGCAGATTTGATACAGAAGATACAGAACCACAAAAGCGTAATTGGTATCAGCAAATAAATGCAACCAAGTATCATCAAGATACTAAATGTCAAGTGACTGTACAACTTCCTAGATCAAAATGGGACAGCGAAGATGAAGAAATGACTGTCAGTGCAACGAAAGAAGAAATTAAAAAACCAATAAATAAATTACACATTTCCGTAGCTCAACGTAAGTGTCTTTTCATAATCGAGATAACAATAGTGTATAACAAATAAATATTGAAATCCTAGAAATAATAATAGTTTTTTTGTTTTAAAAGAAGAGAGATGTTCTACATCCTCCAGCACAACTGACGAAGATAAGATTGATAACAAAGCCGAAGACACTAAAGGAGATAATGAATCCAATGAAAAGAAAATTGACAATACAACGATAAATGACGAAGCTTCAACATCTCCTTTGCTGCAATCTACTGGAGATGAAAAGTTAGCTTCAGAATATGAACAATTCATGAAGATGGTATGCACTGTAACTGATGTAACTAAGGAATATTTGCCAAAGAAAAACCCAGTTAAGACTACTTCCCCACATAGTTATCATGAATTCAATATAGAATCTAACTTGGCAGAAGATAACACGGACATTGAAATATCATTGAAAGAGAAAAAAGACAAACTGCAAACTTTAGAAGGATCAATAAAGAGTACAGAATGTGAAGAGTCCATTATATCCACAGATTGTCAAATACAAATTGATGAGAATAATATGCAAATTAGGCATACAAACAGCAACGAATCTGAAGATTCTAAATCAATACCCAGTGATTGGGAAAATGTTAGAATCAAAGTTGAACGATTAAGTGACGAGAACACTGAATCTAGAGAAATCAAGAAAAAGAAAAAACAAAAGAAAGTAATATCCAGCAGTGATTCGTCTAGTAGTACTAGTTCCTCAGATT